AGAGCTTAATAAGAACCTGCTGCCAAAGTGCAGCCAACTATTGAAGAAAACGAGGGGTGAAAGCACTGCAGTTCAGCTAATACAGAAAGCATTCTGTATGCAACAGGTTGAGCAGAAATGAATTGGAAATGCCTTTTAAATTCTAATTCATTTCCTGAATTTGAATGTAGCAGATATACATAGAGATAGAACGATAGAATGATAGAACGATAGAATGATAGATAGAACGATAGAATGATAGATAGAACGATAGATAGATAGAACGATAGATAGAACGATAAAACGATAGAACGATAGATAGAACGATAGAATGATAAATAGAATGATAGATAGAAGGATAGAATGATAGATAGAACGATAGATAGAATGATAGAACGATAGAACTATAGAACGTTAGAATGATAGATAGAACGATAGAACGATAGACAGAACGGTAGAACGATAGATAGAATGATAGATAGAACGATAGAATGATAGATAGAACGATAGATAGAATGATAGAACGATAGATCGATAGATAGAATGATAGATAGAACGATAGAATGATAGATAGAACGATAGATAGAATGATAGAACGATAGATTGAACGATAGATAGAACGATAGAAGGATAGATAGAAGGATAGATAGAACGGTAGAATGACAGAACGATAGATAGAACGGTAGAACGATAGATAGAACGATAGAATGATAGATAGAACGATAGATAGAACGATAGATTGAACGACAGATAGAAGGATAGAACGATAGACAAGAAGGATAGATAGAACGATAGAATGATAGAACGATAGAACGATAGATAGAACGATAGATAGAACGACGGATGGACGGACAGAGACAGACAGACAGACAGACAGACAGACAGATAGATAGATAGATAGATAGATAGATAGAACGATAGATAGAACGATAGAATGATAGATAGAACGATAAAACGATAGAACGATAGATAGAATGATAGATAGAACGATAGAATGATAAATAGAATGATAGAATGATAGATAGAATGACAGATAGAACGATAGAATGATAGAATGATAGATAGAACAATAGAACGATAGAACGATAGAATGATAGATAGAACGATAGAACGATAGACAGAACGGTAGAACGATAGATAGAATGATAGATAGAACGATAGAATGATAGATAGAACGATAGATAGAACGATAGATTGAACGATAGATAGAACGATAGAAGGATAGATAGAACGATAGAATGATAGAACGATAGATAGAACGATAGTTAGAACGACGGATGGACGGACGGACAGAGACAGACAGACAGACAGACAGATAGATAGATAGATAGACAGATAGATAGATAGATAGATAGATAGAACGATAGATAGAACGATAGAATGATAGATAGAACGATAGATAGAACGATAGATAGAATGATAGATAGAACGATAGAACGATAGAATGATAGAATGATAGATAGAACGACAGATAGAATGATAGAATGATAGATAGAACAATAGAACGATAGAACGATAGAATGATAGATAGAACGATAGAACGATAGACAGAACGGTAGAACGATAGATAGAATGATAGATAGAACGATAGAATGATAGATAGAACGATAGATAGAGCGATAGATTGAACAATAGATAGAACGATAGAACGATAGATAGAACGATAGAATGACAGAACGATAGATAGAACGGTAGAACGATAGATAGAACGATAGAATGATAGATAGAAGGATAGATAGAACGATAGATAGAACGATAGATTGAACGACAGATAGAAGGATAGAACGATAGATAGAACGATAGAATGATAGAACGATAGAACGATAGATAGAACGATAGATAGAAACAGATAGAACGATAGAATGATAGCTAGAACGATAGAACGATAGAATGATAAATAGAATGATAGAATGATAGATAGAACGATAGATAGAACGATAGAACCATAGATTGAACGATAGATAGAACGATAGATAGAATGATAGATAGATAGAACGATAGAACGATAGATAGAACGATAGATAGAACGACGGACGGACAGAGACAGACAGACAGACAGACAGACAGACAGACAGATAGATAGATAGATAGATAGATAGATAGATAGATAGATAGATAGATAGATAGATAGATAGATAGATAGATAGATAGATAGATAGATAGATAGATAGATAGATAGATAGATAGATAGATAAAGTGTGCATTAATGCGCTGCCAAGCAATTTACATCTGCCTATTTGGAAAACGATGTTTCTGGCCTAATACTAGACACAGATAAAACACTAACAGAACTCCATACACCAATTCAGCCGAGGCCTTATGAGTTTTATCATTTTATCAGGCTGAACAAAAAACAAAATTAAATACATCTGCCAACCAAATCCCACATCTAACACAATCTGACCCTGCAAAGTCCTTTCATGAGAAAGATGTGTATGTGCCTCTAAGAGGAGGAGCGTGCTGCCAGAGGGAGGTGAAAGAGCAGAGCCGCTCTCTAATAGGAAAAGCAGGAAAATAGGAGATGTGGGGAAAGAGTAGTGAAAACACCTGTTAGACTCCACTTCGCTTTCAGTGCCGAAACTCACAGCTCCTTAAGGAGTCCCAGCGGTGGCTCCCACGCACGCATAAATCAAGCCGAAGTGTTTAGTCCATCGAACAAATATTATTCAGAAAGATTACTGCAAAGAGCTTTAATGGAGACTGGATAAATGCACATCAAATTTCAATTTAGACTCCAGCAGAAACCTGCTCTCTCCAAGATGGATGGCCACAGTCACCTGCTTCAGTCAGCGAAATGGAAATGATCAATTCTGATGTGGTATAAAACGGCGTAAAAGACAGAGCTGCTGCTGTCTGTCAGTTCGCGTACAAACTAGGGAATGAATGACACTAGCCAAATGGTGCGTGCATGGAAAAGGCGCTCAACGTGGCCCGGCTGTAACTCTATCCCTGAGTGCACTGCTGCACTAATGCCACTACCTGCTACCTGCTCTCTCCTTCGTCTTTCCACTTGCATTTCGTTCCACAAAGGAAGGACTTGGGTTTCAGCTGTCGTTATTCATGTACCGGCACGTAGGACAAAGAGATTTGGCCACTTTTGGTGGCAGCTCGGCGGTGTAAATTGCTGTTATCAAGTGGCCCTATTGTACAGGATTAGGCTGGCGTCCACGTCCATGCCAGCTCTTCCATTAACATCCACACCAGCCCTCTATATATAACCTGTTTCTTACAAAAAGAGAAGGGCAACGTTTAACAGTTCCCTCAGGACCTGTGATGGAGCGCATGACTATGAGCTGACTTGAGAGGCTGGAGGAGAGAGCTGATTTGGGCTTGTCTGTTGCTGTGACGTTTGGGAAGCATATTTGAGTTGATCTGTATATATATATATATATATATATTAAATGATTTTAGCAAATGGCTGCAATATAACAAAGAGTGAAAAATTTAAGGGGGTCTGAATACTTTCCGTACCCACTGTATATATATATCACAGGTTGATCTGCGTTGCAAGCCAATGCTCACTCTCTAACAATAAAACTACTGTTCGGCCTATATGGTGTTTTAATGGAAGATGCAGATATGATAGCCACCCTCAGTTGATGGCTAATATATTACAAGCACTTCCATTTAAATCACAGACAATGAAGTTTCATTTTTGGGATCAGTAAAAATAGAAATTAATAATTTTATTCATCAAGGATGTATTAAAATGAAAATAAAGGCTTTTACATTGTTACAAAAAAACAAGGTAAAAATAAATACTGTTCTTTTAAACTTCATCAAAGAATCTTGAGAAAAAGATTTTGTTTTTCACAAAAATATTAAGTAGCACAACCATTTTTAACACTGATAATAAGCATATCAGAATGATTTCTGAAGGATCATGTGACACTGGAATAATGATGCTGAAAATTCAGCTTTGCATCACAGCAATAAATTGCATTTTTAAATATTTTTTAACTGTTTCAAAAAAATTAATATTTAAAAACTGTTTTTTTTATCAAATAAACGCAGTGTTATTTGATTAAAAATATTTTTAAAAATAGCACCAACCCCAAACTTTGAATGTGTAAAAGTATAAAGATAATAAAATTACTGAATTTACTTCATATTTTAATATTGTTTAAAGCTGGTAATCTCAAAATGGTCAAACGTTAAACAGTTTATCTACTCACTGTACTCACTAACTCTAAATCATTAAAACTGACTAAAACAAAATACAAAAGATTAGATATAGACGATTGTTGTTTTTAGATGTTTATCAAATATTTTGGGGGGACAATTTTTGTTTTTGAGCAATATGGATTATAAAAAAAAGTGTAATATAAATTTTAAAAAAATGGCTTGATGGTGTCCAGTTTGATTTGTAATGCACAGGTGCACAATTATAATTATACACCAATAATACAAAACATATATCAAAAGCATAAACATTTGATACATTTTTGCACTACATATAAGAAAATGTCTACATTGTTTCATAGATTTTTCACTCTATTGCCAGTTCTTTCACAGTGATTTCTAACAATAAAATTCTAACTTTTACTGCAAAATCAACATAATTTTACTGTCAGATGAAAACAAATTACTTTACAAATGATCAGATCACACTGCATTGTGGGATTCGAAAAAGGCCCGAACAGCCATAAACTCTTGCGTTGTGTCACCATTATGATGATTAGCCAATATAAAAATGCAAAAAAGCATAATGATTGACTTTAAGTCTGATTACAACTTGCAGTCTGCACTATATACGGCAAAATAGCAAGCACAAATGAGTTTCAAAACACTGTCAGCTGCAACATCACAGTCATAACCCGGCCTGCTCACTATGATATCACAGTACAGTTTGTTTGAATATGAACTCTATATTAAATGTAACTGTAGAGTCAATGCTGTAAAATGGACTAAAAGTACAGCAGCCAGTAGCCAAGAATATTACAGTGTAGAGAAAATCTGATTGATAGCATTCAGGTGAGTGATAACTAACTCATGAAAACAACGTTTGACATTTATCCTACCCGACCAGTGGACGACATCAGTGTCAACATCAAGCTGATCCGACATGCTGGCAGAACCCAGAACTCCATCTTTAAAAATCCTGCTCCAGAGCTGCCTGGTGAATGATGTCAGTCAGATATCAGCCTGAGGAGAGACAGACAGAGATGTGTTTAACCACAGATCACTGCTGCTGTAGGAATGATGCTCAATTATTCACCTCTGATGAGACTGTTGATTTTAGATGGAAAGTGCCAGACAGTGGTTCTCTTGATTGACTTAATTACACTAGTCAGTCTGGTAGGAGATTTTTGACAGTGAAAAAAATGCCTTTTTCTCAGGTACTCACCATGCATAATGCAACAGCAGTAGAAATGCAGTATCTGCTAATCATTTCTGTGCAGTAGTGCATGTCACATATATATATATATATATATATATATATATATATATATATATATATATATATATATATATACATACATACAAATTTTCATATGCTTTCATTTGATCAGAGGAGTGCATTATGAGATGCTGCAAAGAGATGGACCAACTGAGCAAATGCACATACAGGTTATGTCAGACAAATCAAAATTGCTTTATAAATGACTCATATTAAAACATTTCTCTTGAAAGACTCGTCTTATTAAGTGTAAAGCTACGCAAAGACGTTCATTTAGGCGATCAGCTCTTACCTTTGCTGCAAAGTAACTCATAGATTCACATTTTAATCCATTAAGCGCGCGCGCCGCACCAGTAAGCAATAAACACCGCACGAGCCCTGCTGATGTTGATTTGAGTGGCGTGCGGCCGACGCGCAGCGCTCAGGCTGGAGATATAAAGGCTGAATGCAGCGCGAATGCCTGCGAGTTTCTGCGATATCCTCAGCGCAAGGCTGCGTGCTGAACACTGAGCTGACAGAAGTTCATGTGCCGAGCTGATAGTCCGCTAGGCGTCCCACACCGGACGCGACGCGACGCAACGCGACGCGACGCGACTAGATCGCTCGCCCCGCAGCGAGGCATATAGAGTCACAATGGAACCTGCCTTTATAGTTTTTTTTACACAGTAAAATAAATACGAAATACAAAACCGTTCAATAAACAATAAAAAATGTTAAAGGTAAGAAAAATATCAAACCATTGTTTTAGTCCACAAATACGTATATAATTATAGAAATGTATAACATTTAAAACACGAGAAAACTTACCCCTAAAAGTAATGAGAAGTACTTTCTACTTTCACTATATAGTTGACATAAGCTTATATAAAATAGCCCATACAAAGCCATTTTCATTCATTCATTCCTGTAAGGCTTTTTGATGTTAACCAAAAGTGGGTTTTGATTCATTTGTTTAGGCTATTTTATATAAATTCACACACACACACACACACACACAATTTAAACTGTATTATATGCCATGCTTTTATATTTATTCAGCAATGTAAGTGTAATTGCATTAGATAACAAAATATCAAATCGAGATCCACTACTAATCTACATAAAAATAAATAAAATGTAAATCACTTAAAACACTGATTGATTACACATGCTGAATACAATATATACAAGCATGTGTGTATGTGTGTGTGTGTATGTGTATGTGTGTGTGTGTACCTACTTAACCATATTTGAGACAAATTTGTACCAAAAAGTGAGCTAAAGCTGACAAAATCTCCAAAAACCTCCCTTTGGGGACGTCCTCATTTGTAAAATAAAGTAAACAAAGTTTTTTTTTTATTATTGTAAAAATGCAGAAAGTTTCCTGTAAGGGGTAGGTTTGGGTGTAGGGTTGGTGTAGGGCAATAGAAAATATACAGTGTGTACAGTATAAAAACAATTACACCTATGGAATGTCCCCATTTAGATAGCTAAGTAAACGTGTGTGTATATGTGTGTGTGTGTGTGTGTGTGTATATGTGTGTGTGTGTGTGTGTGTGTGTGTGTGTTTTTGGGGTGTTTATGAGGACTCAAATTTTTATAATAACATGGGTATGACATAGATATTACAATGAGAAGGTGATTTATGAGGACATTTTGAGTGTCCCCGTAATTCAAAAGGCTTATAAATAATTCAGAATGAGTTTTTTTGAAAATCTGAAAATGCAGAAAGTTTCCTGTGAGGGGTAGGGTTGGTGTAGGGCAATTATGAGGACTCAAATTTTTATAATAACATGGGTATGACATAGATATTACAATGAGAAGGTGATTTATGAGGACATTTTGAGTGTCCCCGTAATTCAAAAGGCTTATAAATAATTCAGAATGAGTTTTTTTGAAAATCTGAAAATGCAGAAAGTTTCCTGTGAGGGGTAGGGTTGGTGTAGGGCAATAGAAAATATACAGTGTGTACAGTATAAAAACCATTACACCTATGGAGAGTCCCCATTTAGATAGCTAAGTAAACTTGTGTGTGTATGTGTGTGTGTGTGTGTAAATGTGTATACGTGTGTGTATGTGTGTGTGTGTGTGTGCATGTTTATGTGGTTTATGAGGACACAAATTTTTATAATAACATGGGTATGGCATAGGTATTACAACGAGAAGGTGATTTATGAGGACATTTTCAGTGTCCCCGTAATTCAAAAGGCTTATAAATAATTCAGAATGAGTTTTTTTGAAAATCTAAAAATGCAGAAAGTTTCCTGTGAGGGGTAGGTTTAGGGGTAGGGTTGGTGTAGGGCAATAGAAAATACGGTTTGTACAGTATAAAAACCATTACGCCTATGGAGAGTCCCCATAAAGCATAAAAATAAACCTGTGTGTGTGTGTGTGTGTGTAAATGTGTATATGTGTGTGTATGTACATATATGTATGTATATATATATATATATATATATATACACACACATACATACTGTACATTCATACAAACACACACACATTTATATATATTTGTTGATTAAAAAACAGCATCATATAGGTTTGATATTTTGTATCTAATGCAATGACATACATTCATTCGTAAATGTTCAAATACATTCTCAACTCAACATCATTAAACCCTTCGGATTGATTCCAGAGAGCACCCTAGCGCTTCATGTGGGCTTTTATCATTCTATATGCTCCTGCGAGTGATCAAATAGCTTGTTGAGCACAGCATGTCTGTTTATTATGAAGTGTAGAGTAGCGTTTGGCAGCGAGAAGCTTTGATATGCTTTCACCTGCCCTGGTTCAAGTCAAAGTGAGCAGCAGAAGGGCAAAGCTTTTCATACTTTTAAAGAGACCATTAGTGAGCTCTTGGATCTACAGGGTTCATTATTATTCCACATAAATCTAGAAGGAGACTTTTTGATTAATAAAATGTAAAGTACTCAAGTGTTACATTTAAATTGAAGAAAGGAGGCCTATAATCCGAATGGGTGGGAAACTACTGATGTGCACTTAGATCTTAGAGTTTGAACAGCAAAATACAACAACAAATATGTAACCATGAGATGCATGAGAAATATGCAAGGCCGTTTCTGGTTGTGTGCTTCCTTTCTAAATTCAGAAGGAATCGGTTCTTACTACAGCTGTTGAGTTGTAGGCTACTCTTTGAGTGGATTCATGGACTTTTATCTCCACCTGCTGTTGAAGAAAATCACGCAACGATTTTCATTCAACAGTTTTCTCAAATATTAAGCAATTCTTTTATTCCAAAACTAGCAGTTATTCATATCTCATAAATACATTTCAAATACAGATGCTAAATCATATATTTGACAGTAGTCATCTGTCACACATAATGACATGATTTTTAGTATGCAAAAGTCTGAGACCATTAGTGAGAATGCTTCTATGTTCTAATTTAATACAGTTTTCCTTATATGAATTAAATAAACTAATTTCAGAATGGCTTAGATTTGATCATCTGCTTTAACAGCAACACTCAAGCTGCATGAACTCTACAAGTTTGTACAAGTTTTGTTCTTTAATGGAAGTAAAATCATCTGAACATACAACAGGTCATACGATCAATGATCAACATCACTATACGTGAATAATTTACTTATTTGATTAGTGACCTAGAAATAGTGCAAAATCATAAATATTTCATATTTATTTATTTTACATCATAACTGACCTCTATTTTTGATCTATTGACAATCCTAAAACTTTCACTGCACATTTAGATGATGACAGAGCTGGGTAGATTACTTAAAAAATTGTAATCGTTACTGATTCCAAATTACATGACAAAGATTTTAGTTAGTAAAAGTTCATTACATTACACATTATATAATCAGACTACTTTTAGATTACTTTTGACCTAACTCATTTATCATATTTAAATAGGACAACCTTGCACCATATCGACAGAAAAAAAGCAAAGAGAAAGAAAATATATTTCTTTTGTTGTTATTAACAACATGAACTGCAATAAACGTTACATTACGCCAAGGTTTCCCAATGTGTGTGTGTGTGTGTGTATATATATATATATATATATATATATATATATATATATATTCTGTATATACATAAGC